TTTAATCTGTAAATTTTTAGTGAATTCCTAAAGGTAGCACTTTTCACCAGTACAACAGATAGTACTCAAGTTCTGGTGCATCTTTACCATAAATAAGTAGCGTTCTCTGTATTTTTCTTCACTGCAAAGGGCGGTGGGGGAGGATGGCTGCAGCTTGTTTCCATAGAGATAGGGAGTAGTCAGAAGGCGATGGGAACGTTGTTTGTATAAATGTTTTGTCCTTTGCTTTACAACATAAGCCTCCACAGAGGCATAAAGGAAAACACACCCGGTGGCCACTTACCTCCCAGCCCCTAACAGCGAAGCATCACCAGTCGAGTCGTTACTTGAGATGAAGTAGCCCACGGAGAACTGCACTGACACTTCTGAGCGACACTGGCCTCATCTTCCTTGGGGTCACCCGTGTCCATCTGCTCATGAGAAGAGCATCCGTACGCCACTGACTTGGACGCCACCTTAACCCGACAGCATACTTCTGAATGTGCCCTGTCCCCATCCAGGAGTTCGCATCTTCCGTCCGTGAGCCACGGGCACTGTTCTGGCCTGGAGGGCAGGCCCACCTCACTGCTGGTTTAGTCCAGTTTTTCCTGAATATTCAGACCTGTTTGTCACACCTAAACCTTAGAATCAGCTTATCTACTTCATTTAAGAAAGAAAAGTTGGAATTGTGACTGCAGCCAAGTTCAAGGTGAACCCCAGGTCTTTGATGCCAGCGTAGTGGTCTGTTCGTACTCCGCTGCCTCCCAAGTTTATCTTACTTCTTCCTGCTTAGGGGCATCCTGAAAAATGAAGAAATAGTCTGAATATTGCTTCCAAATAAAGCTTTTCTTTAATTGGCTGTTCCTGGCATTTTCGTCCAGATGAGGTTTTAATTCCTCCATCTTTTTAGTTCAGGCCCTAGAGGTGCTTTTCAGCATGAAAGGAACAGGTTACGTGACATGCTCTGAAGTCTTGCATTCACTCCCTCGCTTTGTTTTATAACCTTTGGTACAAGAGCTGGCATTTGCAGGCAGTGGAAGTCTTGGCTTCTGCTTCGCGAGCGATTTCAGGCCTCCGTTCTCAGCACGCGCGTCCCCTCCACCGCTGCGCACAGCCTGGCTGTTTCCTACTGTGAGACATTTCCGTGTCCTTTCTGAGAACTAGCATGTAAGAGCGGGAAACAAGGCACACGGCACGGATCAGGTGGACCCCGCCAGAGCCGGGCTCCTCGTGGGGCTCCCGCTCCCGTCATTGTCCCTCCAGTGTGTTCTGCCCCATCCCAGCCTGCAGGCAGCCAGTGCTCTCAGAAAGCAAGCAGTCAGAGATGGGTGATAGACACGGCCTGTGCCTTCTGCCTGCTTCAAGCTTTTTATTTGGAAATAATGTCGATTCACGTGAAGCTGTGAGAAATGACACGGCGAGAACTGTGTTCACTTTGCGTAATGCACCGTGACCACCAGGATGTTGCCCCCGATGCAGTCAGGATCCAGAACATTCCACAGGAGTGCTCCGAGGCATTCTTGTAGTCACAGCCTCACCCTCCCAACCCCGGCAGCCACTAACCTGTCCTCTGTTGCTGTCATGTTCTCATTTAACAATGTCACATAAATGGCCATACCTTGTGTAGCCTTCGGGGACTGGCTTTTGTCACTCGGCTGAGTCCCAGTCGCTGTGTGTGTCAGTAGTTTGATCCTCCTGTCTGCGTAATGTCCAGCCGTCGATCCACTGAGCAGCGTCTGGGCTGTTCCCAGTTTGGGGCTGTTGTGAACAAAGGAGCTGGAACGCAAGTCTTCATCTCTCTGGGACAAGGGCCCGTGTTTCGTTTATAAGAAGCTACCGGACTGGTCCTCAGAGCCCCGCACTGTTTTCCATCCCCACCAGCAGCGCGTTCTCGCCAGCCTCTAGGATGGTCACTGGTTTTTGTTTTGGCTGTTGTCACAGGCGGACAGCAGTGTGTCACGTGGCTGTAGGTGCGTTTCCCGGATGGCTAATGCTTTTCAGCATCTTTTCATGTGTGTTTTTCTTCTATTTGCAAATCCTCTTCAGTGAGATGTCTCTTCATGTCTTTTGCCCATTTTCTGATTGCATTGTTTGTTTTATTGTTGAGTTTTGAGAATTCCTTGTGTATTCTGTTGGTTGAACATGCGGTTTTCTGATATTTTCTCCCAGTCTATAGCTTGTCTTTTCATCTTAACAGGGTCTTTAGCAGAGCAGGAGGTTTTAATTTTGTTCTATCCAAAGAAACCCTTTTATTTTATGGACTGTGCTTTTGGTGTCTGGCCTGCGAGCTCTGCCAGGCCCTCAGCCCTGATGGTGCCCTCCTGCCGGGCACCTAGGTGTTGTGTGGTGTGTGTAGCACGCGGAGCCTGGGCCGCGTCGAGTGCATTTCTGTGCAGACACGAGACTCGGGTGCCCAGCGGCTCCAGCTGCAAGGCCACCCCGCCTTCGCTGAACCGCCTGATGGGGTTGCCTCTGGGCCCTGCTGTCCCCATGCGGTCTGTCTGTGTGTCCCTCACACCACCTCGCTGCCTGGGTGACGAACGCCACACAGTAAGTGTTGAAATCAGCGAGGCGGGTTCCCCCCACTTCTCCTTCTTTATGATGGCTGCTTGAAAGCCTTTCTCAGAGAATCCTCACATCTCTGGGTTGCCGTCTGTTGATTGTCTTTGTTCCTTCAGTTTGAGATCTTCCTGGCCCTCGGTGTGAAGAATGATTTTTGTTGGGACCTGGATATACCACGTTCTGAGACTGATATCCTACTTGAACCTGTGTTTGGGCTGACGTGCGCTCCCACTGCTGTGATGAGGGCAGCGGTGAAGTGCGGGCTCCCCACCAGGCCTCCACGGACACTGCTGGTGGGGCCTCCTTGACACCCAGCGGGGCGGGGGGTCCTCCTCACCGTGTTACAGGTGCAGGTGGGAGTCCTGGCTCCCGCCTTGCAGGGTGGGAGGGAATGGGCGTCGAGCCCCCCTGGGCCTTGCTGCAAGGGAGGGTGGGGTCTGGCTGGAGGACAGCGGTTCCCTCAGTTGCTTCCTGTCCTTCCCGGAGGGCCCTCTCCTGGCCCTTTGCCAGGGAGAGCAGTGTTTGGTGGGTTTTTTGTCTGAGCCTGTTGGTGTTTCCAGGTTGCCAGCTGCTTCAGCTCCAAGCCTGGGATAACGACACCCACGGAAGACTCAGGGGACCCCCGCAGTGTCCAAGTCCTGGCAGGCCTGCCGTCCTCAGAGCCTTCTTAGGTTGCTTTCCATGTGGTGTCAGGTTATCACTTGTGCCGAGGGGGGGAAGGACGCTGCCCCGTCTCCCCCCGCACGGGCCCCTTCGCCTGCTTCTGAACCGGGGCTCAGCGAGTGGGTACAGAGTGCCGGCAGTCGTGTGCAGTTTCCAGGACTGACAGCCTGCGGTCCCCCCAGTGCTGGGGCTGCCTCTCACCAGCGCCTGTGCTTTCCTGCAGGCCCCCCACCCCCACCCTCGGTCTCTGCGGCTGCCTGACCGCCACGCCCATCTCCCCACCTGACCCTCCAGCCGGGAGGCGGCGCCTCCACGTCTGACCTTCAGTTCTGGACCCTTCTTATTAAAAGTTCCCATAACGGGACTGGACACACATGCAGATACCAGGTGCATCGTGAGCCCACGTGCCCACCAGCCAGCATCAGCAGTCACCAGCCATGGCCCTGAGCTGAACCCACGCCATGTCTTCCCAGCACGCGGGGCCATCTTATACTAATAAATCCCGGATGCGACCCTCCCGTCTCTGAGAACTTCAGTGCGTAACGCTGAGAGACAAGTGCTGCTTCTGCACCTGACTGACTAACAGGAACTCCTAAGGATAATCGGCTGTCCAGACTGTCTTGTGTTTCGCGTTCCCAGTCACAGAACCTGATTCATTTTAGGTCTTGTAGTTCCAGCACCGCTTTGCGTGTGATAGGTTTTCAGAAAACATACCTAAAAGTAATCAACGAGTATAAAATAATAATGCCTTTAAAACTACCTGGAACACTGTCTCGAATCAAGGATTCCAGATAGAAACTCATTTAACTTTTAGCAACAGATTTGCCAGATATACGTGAGGTTGGACACAGTGAGCAAACGATGTCTCGGAGACTGTATGTCAGACATGGCACGTGAGGAGTCTGTGAGATACGAGCATGTGCTAGCATTTCAGTCACTGTTCCTGAAAGCAGTGAATTTGCTTGTAGTGATTTATAACATGAATTTCATTCGCATACAAGCGACGTGTGGCTACAGGTTTTGCATGGCTCGTTTTTCCTCAGTTGCAATTTGATGGGCTACTGTATTACAGACCAGGTGTTTGTACAGTCGTGCAAAGCATAGCCAACTATTTAGGGAGAGGGAACTCTTAAATCTGTTAATAATTAGGTAATTGCAGTTAATTCTTTGAGGATTTTCTGTGGTTTCTCCTGCCAACAAAATACTAAGCTATATATGTACATGGCTGAGACATTAGACGAGATGTTAACGAGTCCATGCTTTTACTTCCATCCGTATGAGACGCTCCCCACAGTGGAGGGGGGGGGGTGAGGTGAAATGCTGTGGGCCTCCCTCCTTCCCCCACCCGAAGGGGGACTTCTGGCGGACCAGAAGGCTGCCAGCGCAAAGCCCCAGTAGCAGGTGGGCTTGGTCTGTCGTCATCTGTCATCTGTCGCGATGTGGTGTGTCGTCAGCCTGTCCTACAGGAGAGAACCTTCGAAGACGTAAACATCGTCACCTTTGTCCCTGGTTCGGAGCTCTCCATGGCTTCTCCCCAGGAATCGCCCACGCTCCTCAGAGTGGCCCTCAAATCCTCCTTGCTGGGGCCCCTTCCCACCTGTCGCCCTCCCTGCAGGAGGGTCCTCGGGGGTCCTGCGGTGACGTACTGAAGAGGTGGGAGCCTCAGAACGTTGTGTCCTGATGGCAGCCCGAACTGTTCTCGTTTCATGCGTTTTCTCTTTAGTTTCCACAGAGGATGCCTGCCCAACGCTGCACAGAAGGGGGCCACTGAATGTTATTTTCTTGCTGTCTTTCAGACAGAATCAGCCACCGCCAGTCAAGAGACCCTCACAAGCATTTTGCCATGGAGCTAGAAGATGAAGAAAACATGAGTAAGACCAAGGCCTGCCATGTCCTATCGAGTCGCTGATTTCTCGGGACAGCCTTAGTGTTTCTGTCCGTTCAGTTCATGACACCAGTTTGGGGAAAGCAATTTTCCTGGGATACAGGCTAATGCTAATGGCGGTGGCGTGTTTTGAGTGTGTGACACCTTTTCTGTTCACCGGGGGCATCTCCTTCCAGCCACTTGTCCGGGGCTGTCACTCCTGGTGATGGTCCGAGGCCATGCCATGTGTGCCTGGGGGGGGGGCGTGCCTGGGGGGAGCGCGTGCCTCTGGGGGCATAGCTCATGAAGCCACCTGCTTCACCCTAAGTCACGGCCTGGCTGTCGTGATGGTAGCCAGGTCTCTGTCTGTGCCAATGTCAGATAACCTTGGGGACGAATTTAAATAGCTGGCTATTGGGGATGACAATGCATAAATTTTCTGTTCAAACACTGGATTCTCCCTGAATTCTGAGGGAAGGGGCTCACGTGAGTCTGCTGATCTTAAGTTTCCAGACTTTAATGAGCCTTCGGACTGGAGTGGCCAACACTCACCTTTGGGCCCTTCCCCTTCCCATACTGTCCTCTCTGGGGGTGAGGACGGAGGGGCTCAGCCGTGCCAGCTTCCCTTCACCGCAGTCTCTGTGGAAAGTTCAGCGAACATACCTCTCCCTTTTGATTTATCTTTAAACCCAAATAGCAGTGCTTTTTAAAAAGGTTTAAAGGCTCCCACAGAAGCTGGGAGCTTTTAGTAAGGGGAGTGCAGCCCTCTGATGTCTGACGCATGTGTGTGGTCTGCTTGGTGTGTGTGTGTGTGTGTGTGTGTGTGTGTGTGCGCGCGCGCGCGCGCGCCACTGGCCTATGTGCCCCTGCTCCCGAGGAAGGACATGCAGGTCCGAGTGACAGGTGGCCTTTACTGAGAGCAGGTACCAGTGACAGCACAGGTCCGTCTATTCCCCTGGGCCCTGCCCAGAGCTGGCCGGCTGAGGCCTTGGAACCCAGAGTTCCCTGGGCGGAGCGCGCCTGCCTCCCGGGCTGCTCCATGGCTGTCGTGGCGACAGGAGGTGGGCTGGGTCTGTGTTCCACGAACCACACAGGAGACGTTCTCTCTGGTTGAAGCCAGTCCCTGTAGGATGCCAGCATGAGAAACTGGACACATGCCGTTTCCTGTGGCTCTGTCCTGTCACACATGCGTGGCCTCTGGTGGCTGCTGCCTTCAGGTTGGAATCCCCGAGCCTACTCATGACGTCCCTTTAGAAGCAGCGTATGTTTCTCCTCGTCAGCCCCACCCGCCACCTCCGGTTCTGCCCATGCAGAGTGCGCGTGTGGCTGTCCCCAGCCTCCTCCTTGTCGGGGCTGCAGGCTGTTGTCCACGGCAGTCATCTGCTTGGCTAGAAACGTCCCGGAATGCAGATTACATAACTGTCCCCACACTGCTCCTGGGGTAACTTAGCCAACAAATAATTTTTCTGGAAAGGTAAGCTGCTGGTTCAGTGCTGAAACTTAGCGATGCCAGTTCCGTATTTCCTGTCATCTTGGATGCAGTGAAAAATGTTATGATTAGTATTCACATTTGTGAAATAAAGTAGCATGATGTTCAAGAGAAAGCACCTGTTTAAGAAGAGTTATACTAGAAGGCTGTCTGTCTCCAATTTTAATATTTCTTTTTCTGCACGTAGTAGTGTTTGTAATAAGGTGGAGCGTGAGCAGCATCTCAGTGCTCCTGACACTCACAGGAACTCAGAATGTGTGTGGACTGTGCCGTGGAAAGTGCATTTCTCCTACCATCTCAGGTTGCGGCCCAGTACCGAGTGTTTTGTCTCTTAGAGGAAGGCATCGGGGCATTGCGGAGCTTGTACATACCCGCGTGATGCCCGAGTGTGTGTGGCACTGAGCGTCTGCACCGCCGGCTGAGCACAGCCGCTGCGCGCCTGTGGGGTCCTTGCTGTCTGCTCCGCAGCCCGCCCCGCCCCGCCCTCGTAGCCTTCTGTGTCCTCTAAGCACCCAGAGGAGTAACCTATCGAGCTTTTGCTGGAGGATGTTATAAATGAAAATTTAGTGTCTGTTCCGTCAGCTTTGTCAACTGGGAGAAGTGGTGTGTGCCAGGACGAGAGAGGTGCCATCCGCAGAGGGCGCGGGTCCGTGCCGGTCTCTGCGACAGGACACTCGATTTTCCCACGGGCTGTGCTTAAACCAGGACCATCCCTTACCTCTCTGCTGAATGGTGGCCGCCCGGGGAACTGAGAGCTTTCTCTCGGTGTGGCAGCCGGTGGCCCAGACATCCATCCTGTTAGGCCCTCCCTGGGGAGAGCTGATGGGATGGACACTCAGCCCTTCCTCAGCCTGCTTAGCATGACAAGTCACATAGTGCAACTAGATCCGGCCACCATGCTGGGCTCTGAAAATTGATTTACACCTGCCAAAAACGCTCCTGTTACTTAAACGATTTATGGTGGAGTTTGGAAGCAGCGGTTGGCCCTTAAGTCCCGTTGTCACATCAACAGTGCGTGACGCCCCGTGTTCCTGCTGTGCTCCGGGCTCCACACGGCCTGGGGAGATGGCCCAGGAGACAGAGCCCGTTCTCACTCTCGTTCTCTGTTAAAGAGCCTGATAAACTTCAAGGGAGCAGTAATCCCCCTTTTTGAAAGTAAAATCATATTTATTTTGCTCTGAACTTTTAGAGTTCTAAAATTTATTAATTATAAATATAAAAGGTAGGATAACCAAGTTATTCTGGAAATCCATCAAATATTTGTTTAAAAAAAAAAAAAGACAAACTTGCCAGCTCAAGCTTGGGAGTCGTAGCCTGTCTGCACCCCCAGTGTTACGTCTTGTCCTTATGTATTTTTTCCTGTCACGGAATTAAGGATTCAGACGTACATCCATCCCCATGTATAGTGAAAATTTTTAAGTAAATACTAGTAATGAAGCTGTAGTCTTCAAACATAATTTCTAAAAGGCCAGACTACTTTACATAATTACATAAGCAGATAACTAAGATTGATCCACAAACTGAATATTGATTGTATGTTTCAAACCCGAGGAACTAATTAGCCTGTTTTTAAATGCGTTACGTCTCCCGGGAGATGCTGCAAGTCAAAGCCCGGTGTGAGAGGCCGTGACGTGGGACAGGCAGAAAACGCTAAACTGAACACGTGTGTCGATACTGATCCGAGACTGACTAATGTCAGGGCTCCCAGGCTGATTCTTCGCCCACGTTTTGGTAAGCTTGAAAAAGTGCCTGCAGGTCCTTCATTGTAGTCCCGTAAAAACTAGTTAAAAATTCACCCTTAGTGCACAGGCCTTGGTGATACCAAACAGGAATGTCGGAGCCGCTTCTGAGCAGCACGTCCGCTCACCCACGCGGCCAGGCCCACAGCCCCAGGCTCAGTGCGCGGGAGCCAAACCTCTGAGCACACATCACTTAACCAGTTACAAAGAGGTAAAGGAATCTATAAATTTTGCATTTACAAGATCCTGCAACGAAGGCGTTGTAAGTTGCTCTTTCTGGGCACCGCAGGTCCGAGCGGCACAGATGCTAAGGAAAACCGCGGTGTGGACAGCGTGCCCCCCGGGGACGGCCGTGCTCCGGGGCCGCCCGAGGGCTGCCTGCTCTCCAACGGGGGTGGCGGTGGCGGTGGCGGTGGCGGTGGCGCCGGCCGGAAACGGCCCCTGGACGAGGGCAGCAACGGCCACGCCAAGTTCTGCCTGAAGAAGAGGCGGCGGGCGCCGGGGCCCGCCCTGCCCAAGAACGCGCTGATGCAGCTGAACGAGATCAAGCCCGGCCTGCAGTACACGCTGCTGTCGCAGACGGGGCCCGTGCACGCGCCCCTCTTCCTCATGTCCGTGGAGGTGAACGGGCAGGTGTTCGAGGGCTCCGGCCCCACCAAGAAGAAGGCCAAGCTGCAGGCTGCCGAGAAGGCCCTGCGCTCCTTCGTGCAGTTCCCCAACGCCTCCGAGGCCCACCTGGCCATGGGCCGGGGCCTGTCCGCCAACGCCGACTTCACGTCTGACCAGGCCGACTTCCCCGACACGCTCTTCAATGGCTTTGAGACCCCGGACAGGTCAGAGGTGCCCTTCTACATGGGTTCCAATGGCGACGACTCCTTCGGCTCCGCCGGGGACCTCAGCCTGTCGGCGTCCCTGGTGCCCGCTGGCCTCGCGCAGCCGCCCCTCCCTGTCCCGCCGCCCTTCCCGCCGCCCAGCGGGAAGAACCCCGTGATGATCTTGAATGAGCTGCGCCCGGGGCTGAAGTACGACTTCCTGTCGGAGAGCGGGGAGAGCCACGCCAAGAACTTCGTCATGTCCGTGGTGGTGGACGGCCAGTTCTTCGAAGGCTCGGGGAGGAACAAGAAGCTGGCGAAGGCCCGGGCCGCGCAGTCCGCCCTGGCCGCCGTCTTCAACCTGCACTTGGATCAGACTCCATCTCGCCAGCCCATCCCCAGCGAGGGCCTCCAGTTACACTCACCGCAGGTGAGGAGACGTCCTCTTGTGCCTGGTTTCCGGTCACTCTGTCCCAGCCAGAAGCAGTTAGCAGTAAGTGGCTGCTGGGCAGGCCCTCCTAGATGGCATCGTCACTGTGGTCACTGGGGAGCTGGCCTGAGGCCGTCAGCACAGGGACCCCGAGCAGTGCTGTCCGCCCTCCCCATGCCGAGCCTCGCTCCAGAGGACAGCCCCTCCCAACCCTGCCCCACGAGGCCTCTCCTGTGGGGCCCGTCCCGGGGCACCTTTGCAGAGGGGGGCGAGGGGCGGACCATCACACCTGCCCGCTCAGGGTGTTTTCCCCACGGTCTCATCTGGGGACTCTGGGCACAAGCGGAGTGAGGCTGGCCCGTCAGGTTAGGGTGTCGGGCCCCAGCAGGACTGGCGGACCACTGCATCCACAAGGCCAAGGGGCCATCTGTGCAGAGAGTGAGCTCACGCACAGCAGCAGGGAGCACGTGTGTGAGGGGCGTGGGGCGCGGGGCTCTCAGCCCGTGCTTCAGGGCCCGCCAGGTGCCCGGAGTCTGTACCTGGAATCCCCAGCAGGACGCGGGCAGGCCTCCCTCCTCCCGGCCAGCGTGGGCAGGCACGCCGACGTTTGGCCTTGGAACCTCCTCCGAGGTCAGGGTGCAGGGAGAGGAAAGCTCAGGGCAGGCTCACGCTGGCTTCTGTGAGCCAGGAGGGGCACTGCACTGCCCCTGAGCTCTGCCTCCATCCTCCTCCTATTCTTGGAAATCCGAAATTCTCAGGTCTGTGAAAACCTTTTAGGGAGAAATTCTGACCCTCTTTTCTATTTATTCCTCTTGTCAAAATATTACTCAATGTGAAGATAAAGTACATCCTGGTCTGATCAGAAAAGGTGCGGGCTCAGAGCTGACAGATGGGATAGCTTGTGCTGTCCTAGAGGGACCAAGGAGTGTCACCGCTTCTTCCCTTTTAATCCATTAGAGCAACCCCTGTGCAGGTGTCCTCAGGGGTGACCAGTAGTTTTCAGTTTTAAAAGAAGGAAATCTGTTTTATTTTGTCTAAAGCAACCAAACACAGCATCAGTATACAATAGCATTCTCAAAGTATTCTGCTGATTTTTTTTATGAACCAAACAATTGCTCCCCATGTTAACCCCTTGTCAGTGTTATTCATAAGAACTATTAGTCCATTCATTGTTTTACAAATCGGTGGCACTAGTTCCCAAGTGATTTTTTTTTTCTTTTCAGGTTTTACTGTTTCTTAAGCTATTTCAGCCTGAGTTCAAAACAGTGCCTGATGTGACCTGTTTCCCCTTAACGTCAGCAGGATCGTAGGTCAGAGAATTGAAGTCATGTGAATGATTGGCATCCCAGATGGCAGTGTCACAGTGCAGGCGGTGGCACCACAGAGGGAGGCAGGGCGGTCGATGCCACGTGCACCGGCAGCCCGCATCCCCAAGCCGCTTCTGGGGCAGCAGTGGCCAGAGCCCAACCTGGGAGGGCTGGGCCTGCGCAGTCTCACTGGGGAGGGGTGTGGTGGGTAGGGTGTCCCGACCCGCCCGACACCACTTGCCCCAAGCTCTGCAGGTGCCGAGCAGCAGTTTTGGGGCCTCTGATCCTGGGCCAGTGAGGCCTGGGGACAAGTGCTTGGTCCCCACTCTGCTCACAGTGGCCCCTCAGTGTCTCTTAGAGGCCCCAGTAGCTCAGGATGTGACCTTGTTCACCTGGAGAACCTAAGGTGCCTTCACAGAGTCAGCCATACGGTGTGTTTCTGGGCTCGTAGTCTTTGCCCTGGAAGGTTCCAAACACACAGCTAGACTGGGAGCAACTCCTCACCGCTCCCCGAGAGCCCAAGCGGGACTTGGCGGACACGCCAGCCCTGTAGTCTGTGCCGTCATGGTGCTCACGGTGGCACCACAGGATTTAAAGCCAGACGTGAGCAGAGCACTCTGTCACCAGGGAGTGACATCGGAGTGGCCTGCCCCATCGCAGAGCTCTCAGCCCCCGCCGAGTGGTGCAGGCGGTTTCATGGGCCTGTGGCGCTGTGGGCGTGGCTCCAGGAGCATGTGACTTTCTGGTTATACCCGCCCCATTTAGAGGGACAGTCCCATTGCCCCTAGAGATGAGGTAGCAACCCCCTTGGGGGAGCAGAAGAAGCCAGATGCGCAGATGCCCCCATCGAACAGGTAAGTGTCCATGGAAGTGCCCGGCCGCCATTCGAGTGCCTCTGAGCTCTCGTTAAACTCCTCTGCTCTCCTCCGAACATGTGGCGATATGCCTAACCCCACACGAGACGGAACGGTCATCCCTAACCTCTCCCTTTTCTTTGTAAGCTGGAGTGTGTTGTCCTTTAGCAGTGACACCCTCTCCACTGTGTGTTTGCACGTCTGTGTTTCTGTCTGTGGTCTGACCCCATTTCCTGCACACATCGTGCCATGGGCACCTCTGCCAAGGTGCAGCGTGAGGTCCCCAGACCCCGCCCCGACCTGTCCTGTCTCCACGTGACTTGTCTTGAGCGCTGTCTCCTGGGGCTCGCTGGGGTTGCCTGGTGCAGTGACAGGACAAAAACATCCTGACAACTGTACTTCCAAATAAGTCATCATTTGGGATGGTGACTTTTCTGTTCATTTGGGACATGTTTTATGAAGGGCCAAGCTGGGGACACTAGATTTGTCCATTTGATCGTCAAGACAGGTGTGAGATGGGGCGGATGTGGGTCCCGTGGCTCTTTGCACACACTTCCCGCCAGGCACCGTTTCCCAGAACACTGTGTGTTCGTTTTATCCACGATAAATCATGAGCCGTACAAATAAGACGTGTCCCGAATCTAGCAGATGTGTTTTTCTGAGAAGCACTCCCTTCAGGGCAAGTGGCTGTCGGGTCTGTAACAGCAATGGAAGGGTTCCGGGTGTCACTTAACGCCTTCTCTTTCAAGGCGTGGCCTTGGGGACGTTCCGGTATCGTTGGATCTAAGTCACAACATCCCTGGAGCCCTGGTCAGTGCTGGTTTCTGAGCACGTGTGTCCTGAGCCCGGGACTTGTCCACGCTGAAATTACTAAAAGGCCTATCCCACGGGCGGTGCCTTTGCCAGGGAGGTGCTGTGCAAAGCCCACAGTGCTTCCATTTGATCACGCTTCAACCTGCCCTTCTCCTGCCCCTGATGTTGTGTGTCACACCCGAGGGTGTGCCCCTGGCCTTGCCAGCCTGAGCCGGACACTCCCTGGAAAGCCTGGGTGGCAGAGCAGTGGCGGGTGGGAGGCAGGTGACCCAGGGAAGGCACTGTCATTGCCCTATGCCTTGGTTTCCTCCTTGGAGGGCCGGCCGGTGTGTTGTGGGGATTGGAGGGGTGGCGTGGGCGTGCCTCACATGCAGGAGTGCGGGCTCAGGGCTGTCCCTGTCTTTGGAGACATCAAGGAGTCCAGCCAGGACCTCTCGTGCTCCTGGGACATCTGTTTTCTGAGAGCGTTTTGGAGGAAACACACTCACACACTTATGCATCTTCATACATGTGCACGCACACTCACATATGCTTACACACGCACACTTACATGCGTACATACACACCCGAATACATGCTAATGTATGCATGCTCACACATACCTGCACACACTCACACATGCACATGCTTACACATGTGCACATACACAGGCACACTCACATGCGTACACACATACACTTGTATACATGCTCACGTGCATGCTCACATGCACATACACATGCATGCCCACATACATGCCTGTACACATGCCCACGCACACAGTCACACATGCTCACATGCATGCACACACATGCTCGCACACACACGTTTGCCACATCGACCTCTGTGAGTCTCCAGAAGAAAAGCCACCCGTGCTGTCACCTGAAGGAGAGCTCGGCTCGCTGGCAGATGTCCGGGCGCCTGACCCCTGCTGTGGTCCTCAGGTGTTAGCCGATGCTGTGGCCCGCCTGGTGCTGGACAAGTTCGCTGACCTGACGGATAACTTCTCCTCCCCTCACGCTCGCAGGAAGGTTCTCGCTGGGATTGTCATGACAACAGGTAAACATCTTCATCTGTAAAAATCTCTAACAGGAAATCACTTTTTCCCTTCATTTTCAAAATGTCTGCCATCTGCACATGTGGGCCTGCACTTACACTTTTTCCTTCAGTGTTCATCTTGCCCCAGGTTCTCATTTGGAGGAGCCCCTGTGTTCATATGGACTCCCACGGGCGTGTGAGAAGACGGGGGGCAGCAGACTTGCTAAATCTTGCTTCCCTGGAAAGTAGGACATAGTCTGACGTACCAGTGAACGTTAATGCTGCCATGTGGGTTTCTGTGTGACTTACAGGGGAGGAGGAAGCTCTAGCAGGAGTGGGAAACCCTTGGGGAAAGGCAGATTTGAGACAGCAGAAGGAACTCTGTTAAGTTTGTCTACAGGTTCCCAGCAGTGAAAGGAACCCTCCCGAGTCCTCTTCCCACAGCCCAGGACTGAGCCCTCGTGCAGCACCTCCAGGGGTGACTCCTAGGAACAGAGCCACAGCCTGGCCAATGCCTGGACCCCCGTCATGCAGCGGGGGACGCTCTCGCTGGCGGCGCCCATGGCCACCCACAGGAAGCGGGCCCTGGTGGCCAGGGAGAGGGGAGCCAGGAGCAGCCATGTGTCCACAGCGGCCAGCCAGGAGGAAACCCACTCTCTGACTCATCCTCCTCCCCGAGGTTGCTCTCTGTCCCACTGGGGGAGGGACATGATTCCGGAATCCTCAGCATTGAGCCCCCTCCCCACGACCTAGAGAGATGTGACGACCGTTGAATCACAGCGTCCTCCCTCTGCCATGACGTTTGCTCTGGCACAGCCGAGCGTGTGTCTCAGGGGCGGGATGAAGAACTCTGAACGCCAACTTGGGTTTCAGGTTTTCTGATGTTTGCTGCCTGTGTTTTCCTCCTGACTGTTACTTGTTACTTAACTGAATTCAGCAGTTCCCTGAGCAGGGCTGCGTGGCCACTCAGCGGCTGGAGGAGCTGGTGGGGTTGTCATCAGCTTTCAGCCACCTTGGAAGAGGCAGGTGTCCTCATGGTAGCATTTGCACCTCAGTGTCAATTTCACTTGGGACCATTGCTCAAACCACAATTTACATCTGCAGGCAGGACTGCGTAGCACCTGGCACACGGTTCTGACCTCAGACAGCTCCGAGGGTTCGAATGACCTTGGCAGGTTATTGCCCCCTCTGCCTCAGTTTCCTCGTCTGTAAAATGCAGATGGTAGTAGCATGCATGTCAGAGGATGTGGGACTGAAGGGAGAACGCTTACCTGGCAGGCCTAGTGCCCGTCACTGGGTGAGCGCACCGTATCCGGTGACATTCAGGGCCTTCGCAGCATGTCTGCAGTACATCGTCTGTGGACAGATTCACTACCAGTGGTCGCTCTCTGGAAGTTCCCATGCTGAGGCTGTCCCCCACACGGGTAGATGGTGACAGACTCCTAACCGGCACACTGAGTCACTTGGTCTCCTTCTTGTCCCTCTGGTGTGGGTGGCCCTCCTGACCTCTTGAGTGCTTTGACACTGATTTCAAGATTAATTAGCTGACTGATTAGTCTACTGCTTCCTACCCGCGTCCAGCGGGGAACATTCAGGAGGAGGCAGCCTTAGGTGGAGACACTGCACGCTGAATAGTGAGGACACTGGGCGCCCAGGAGTGTCGCCCAGTGCATCCTGTACAGGCCTGCGGGCGTGAGTCTGCCCCGGTGGGGTTAGGCGGTGAGGCTGTGAACATGATCGGCATTCTCTGCAGCTTGAGGCACCACGGATGCTCGTCAGGCATGCGACTGACTCAGGCGAGGGGCATCTCTTGTTTTTCAGGCACAGACGTTAAAGATGCCAAGGTGATAAGTGTTTCCACGGGAACGAAATGTATTAACGGGGAGTACATGAGTGACCGCGGCCTCGCTCTGAACGACTGCCACGCAGAGATCATATCTCGGAGGTCCTTGCTCAGATTCCTCTATGCACAGCTGGAGCTGTACCTGAAGTAAGTTTGGTGAGGAGATAAGCCAAGGAGGCTGTTTCAGACAGTCTTCCTCTCCCCTGCCCCGTCAAAACACCGCAGACCTCTCACCGGACGAATCTCCAAGCAGTAACTTTGTCAGGGATACTAAGGTTGGAACCCGTTTTCCCGGGGTTGGCTGAATCCCAGCACACATGCGTCCAGATTGCAGGCCTGTGTCAGACCCTGTTCTTTTGTTCCAGGCGCTGTGATCAAAATGGAACTCAACAGCATGGTCGGCACAATCATTTTTATTCTGGTCACTGTGCCCAAAACCAGCCCATCATGTGTCTAAACTGCTTTTCCTTTCTAAGCCACGTTTCCATGTAGCCATTCTGCCTGATCAGAAATAATAAGGAAAGAAGTACTCGCATTTGGAGGACATGCCCAGTTAGGCAAGAGCAGTGCAGAGTATCGGACATGGAAGGTTCCATCAGTTCAGCTCCTGCTTGTCCTTGGGAACCACTGGGAGCCAGACAGACTGAGTTTTGACTGTACACAGCTGTAAAGTTAATTTTGCAACTTATCTCCTTGCAGTAGCAAAGATGATCAGAAAAAGTCCATCTTCCAGAAGTCCCCGCGAGGGGGCTTCAAGCTGAAGGAGAGTGTGCAGTTCCACCTGTACATCAGCACCTCGCCCTGCGGGGACGCCAGGATCTTCTCCCCGCACGAGCCCGTCCTGGAAGGTGCGCCCAGGTTTCTCACGGAAAGCCTGGTTACGAGTCACAACGGGATGAGCCCACGTAACACCCTTAGTCCTTTGTAAATGTCAGTCTTGATTGTGGATCTGCTAGGATATAAAAGCATGAGGTCTTTCTTTTCAATGACTAATTTAATAGACAATTTTAATGGATGAAAATGTTGATTCTAATAAAGATGCCACGCAATTGGAATAGAGAGAGCATATCAGATCAAAATCGTTTTCAGCACTTAAATTTGGATAACATATACTCTCAGTCAGACAGGCACGTTATCCTCCATGTTTCTGACCAGTTGTAACGTAATGTGCCTTTGGAGCATTTGGCTGGAATTCCAGAAGCAGGCTCAGACTAATGAGAAGGGAGACCCCACTTCTGTGTATTTCTCTCACCCTTCTTTGCATATCAGTTAACGCTTTTGTCGTATACGAATTTGTATCCACATCTCTTCTCCCAAGTTTAAGCGTTATGTATTCCAAATAGAATGTTTGATTGCATTACTTTCCTTGATTATAAAAGCAACACACACCCATTGTGGAAAATTGCTAAATATTTTTAAAATATAAAAAAATTTTAAAGCACCCGTGTTCATATGACGTTTGCATGTGCTTCTTGTGGGCTTATTTCTGTATCCCTATAGATTTCTTTTTGAAAATTTTAAAATACAGGAAAAAATAGAACAGTGAAATATATCCATCACCTAGAATTAGTAAATGTTAGCATTTTGTCCTTTTTGCTTCCGCTCAATTTTAATGATAAAAATAAATCATTTTGGTTAAAATGGAAGCCCTCTTTTTTCCCCAACACCTAAGGAGATCACTTTTGTGACTTTGGTTTGTGTTATAGCCTTCCTGTCCAATTTTATGTTAAACTGAACATATACCTTATAGATATAGAATAAAAACATGGCAGATGTGGGCATAAACTGTGTTTTATGTTTATAGGGTGTTGTTAGATGTGCTTCTCAGTGAATGAGTGGATGGTTTCCCACCCGTGGGTTCTCTCACTCCGGTTTTCTCTCTCAGAACCAGCAGACAGACACCCGAATCGGAAAGCCAGAGGACAGCTGCGGACAAAAATAGAATCTGGTGAGGGGACCATCCCGGTGCGCTCGAATGCGAGCATCCAGACGTGGGACGGGGTGCTGCAGGGGGAGAGGCTGCTCACCATGTCCTGCAGCGACAAGATGGCACGGTAAGGCCCCGCTGCCCGCCCCTCGCTGCGCCAGTCTCCC